CTTACAAAAGCCTTAGCCGTGGGTTGGACGAAGACCTTGTCCTGGCCTGAGTAAGGCAGAGCAAACCCAATATCCACAGCAGGCATTGCCAGTGCTCAAAATGATCTGCTGTCTTTGCTCCTTGCCTGCATCTACCTTTGCCTCCTTGATCTGTCTGATGCACAGAGGTGATGGTGACTGTCATCTGCTGCAGTGGGACCTTGTCCTTACACAGCTTCTCTGGCTCCTGAGATAGGGATGTCTCTGATCTCAGGCAGATCTGAAAGCAATTAACAGTAGCTGTTAGATCAAAATCTTTTCATGTTCTGAGCATAGTGGGGTGGCTGATGTTTTCTGATTTCCCAGAATGAAGCTTGGTGAAGCTCTCTCAGCCTATTGCACTTAAGGAATTGCAGGTGTAATGGTTGGGGCAGGTTAACCTGAGCTCCAGGTAAGTTTTTAACCATAAAACCATCCTTCAGCTCTTTTCCCTGCCCTTGGAGTGTGTGCAGGAGCCTGGGTGCCACATTTCCACCCCTGGTCTGGTGGTTATGGTGGAGAATTATTAAAAGAGAAGGTGACAGATGAGCCTTCATTAGTAGGAAGATGAAGTTCTGGAATGAAGCTGTAAATGCTGGATTTAAAAATAAAGTGAGACACACAGGGCTGAGCGATAAGGTGCCATAGAAAAACAGAATTGCTTTAGCTGATGATTAAAAAAAGAGAATATGATTAGAACAAGCTGATAAGATGAAACCAAAGTGACAAGATAAAGCAGCAGGCCGTCCAAGAGGGGAAGGGAAGACGGAACTGATGGCAGGAGGGCATGAATTATTGATTGAAATCTCCACCAGAAGTCTTTGCATTTTCTTATCTGGGAAGGGAGAGAATGAATGAGAAGCGAACAGAATTATTAAACAGCTTTATCATTGCATTGGAGTGGATAATTAGGCAATTAGGATTACTAAAAGTTGGCAAAGCAAGAGGCCTGGAGGACTTGAGCTCCTGATTTCAGAGAGGGGTGGTGCAGGAAGCAGGGAAAAGTCTTTGGTGAGAGATTTGATGGCACATTATGGTGAGGCTGAAAGCCTCTGGCACCCAGCACCCTGCAGCTTCCAGAACAAAAGGGAACACTGGAGCTCGAGTAATCATAAAGAACTTACTTGAAAATGAACAGTTGTCAGAACAGCAATGAGAAATGAGATCAGGAGTGAAGGCCCTAAGTTAAGAAGGACATGGACATGCTGGAGTGAGTCCAGAGGAGGCCACAAAGATGCTGCAAGATCTGGAGCACCTCTGCTATGGAGATAGGCTGAGAGAGCTGGGGGTGTTCAGCCTGGAGAAGAGAAAGCTCCAGGCCTTAAAGCACCTAAAGGGAATTCAAGAGAGCTGGAAAGGGACAAGGACATGGAGTGACAGGACAAGGGGAAATGGTTCCAAACTGACAGAGGGCAGGGTTAGATTAGATCTTAGGGAGAAATTCTTGGCTGTGAGGGTGGTGAGACACAGGCTGACCTTGCTCAGAGAAGCTGTGGTTGCCCCATCACTGGAAGTCAAATGTCACCTACTCTCCCTCTCCTGAGCCTCCAGCCTGCATCTGTCAAAAATGAGCTTTCAGAATGGTTTTGCTCATGGGAATTTTTGCCTGTCCCTTTGGACCAGGTATGTCCAAGGAAGGACCAGGCAGACACCACAGACTTACCTCTGCAAATTAGCCTCACTTCTTTAGTTGGCACCATAGCATCTTAATAGCTGGCTGCACATTTTGAAGAGGAAAGCTGGGTAAAAATGACTAAAAATAGCACAGTGCATCTGTAACTGTCTGGATTCATCCTGGTGTGCTCTGACGTGAATGCCAGACAACTCTGCTCCTCCTCTCTGCTCCTGACTGCCTTAATCTTAAGCTATATGTTATTTTAAATTAATTTGCAGAGATTCAGACATTACATAAATCACTGAGGAAATGTCAGATTATATATGTAATTTTCCAAAGTGCTCCAAACTCATCTAACTTAGCTCCCCATGAAACCAAGGGATCAAAATTGAGCTGAGCAGAGGGTTTGGACTAGTCATCAGCCTTAAAATGCCATGGGAAGATGAGTTAGCAACTGCAGACACTTGTTGGTAATTTCACACCCAGAGATTGTTGTCATTTCTTCAGGTCATTCAGTGATCAGGAAAGGAAAAAAGTGGATGTTGAAAAATACATGGAGTAGAGTATTTCTTGCTAATTATTTGCTTGGCCTCATTGGCAAGTCACCTGGTGTTCTTGGAGAGCATTGTGTTTTCATGAGAAGGTGCCAACCACAATGTTCCTCTTCCAAGACCAAGTTCAGAATATTAATTATGGATAATGATGCATAATTAAAGCCTGAAGTCCAGAATTAATTGGTGGTAGCTGTTTAGCATAGATATCAGTTCTGACTTGAAAAAGTGCTTTATCTCATCCCCACACCCTGTAGCATCCACAGATGGGTAAATAATTGGAGCAGTAAGCACCCAGTTTTGATGACACAGTGGCTTGTCATTTCCTCAAAGGTATTAAAACAGTTTTGTGCATTAGTGACATGAAAAGTGTTTGTAATTCATGGGAACCTGGTGCTCCTTGAGCTGTCCTGGCTCCAGCCTGACCAACTGCAGAGTCTGGGGCTGTGGCTGCGATGGCTTCACACTCTCCACTCCTGCCCAGGAGAGATGAATCCGCTGCTGCTGCACACCAGTGCAGTCCTGCCAGGACACCAAAGGGTTTTTGACCTCCTGCTGCCTCAATCTCACAAATTTGGGGCCATTCTTTTCCTCTAGCAGAGGTCAGGAGGGTTGCTACACAGCCAGCCAGCCTGTGACTGCAATAGAGCATCCCTTCCCCTGTCACCTAGTCTGGGAAAAATCACCTTGCATTGTTTTTCCTGCGATCTGGGTTGATTCCTAAAGGCATCTGACATGTGCTCTGCATGGCTGAAAACAAGGTTGGTTTTAATAATAAGCAAATGTGTAATAGCAAGTAGAGGTTTGTACTGTGGAGTTTGTGGGTCCCAGTGGACACACTGCTGTTGCTTTGCAGAGCAGAGGGGAATGGAGCCAGAATTTGTGTTCGTTGAAAACAGGTAATAGAATATTATTAGATCAGCCCCTGCCTCTGCCGTGGCAGGGA